GAGGAGGAGGAGGAGGAGGAGGAGGAGGAGGAGGAAGAGGAAACAACTAACAAGCCAGGCACAGTCACCTGTGATCATAATTTCTACACATTCAAGACTAGCTTGTGCTACATAGTGGGACCGTGTCTCAAGAAACTAATTTAAGTTAAAATAAAAAGTCAATAAACCAGTACTTATCTAGAATGTACAATATCCTAAGTTCAATTCCCAGTACCACCAACAAAATGTTTAACAAAAGTTAGTTAAAACCCAGCATTCAGGAATCTCAATCTCTCTTTCTCTCTCTCTCTTTCTCTCTCTCTCTCTTGTATGTAAAATTGAATATTAAATCAACTTTAAAAATTGCTTTATTACCAGGTATGGTGGCACATACCTTTATTCCCAGCATTAGGAAGGCAGAGGCAGGTAGATTTCTGTGCGTTCTGGCCAGCCTGCCCTACATAGAGAGTTGTACGCCAACCAAGGCTACATAGCCAGACCCTGGCTCAAAAAAAACAAAACAATAAAAAATTACTTTATTCATGCATTGCTCACATTCAATTAAGCTTATGTAAGTCAAATTCAAATTTGGAAAAATTTTCTAACATTAAAATTCACAGGGACTGGAGAGATGGTTCAGTGGGTAAGACTGCTTGCTGTGCAATCATAAAGATTTGAATTTAGACACCAGCACCCATGTAAAAGGCATGGCCACATGCACCCTGAGGCAATGATAAATTCAGAACTTCCCAAATTGTGTGTCTATGAACAAATGTAGTGTTTTACAATCTACTATCTTTATATCTTTGTGTATAAGTGGAGGGATGCACTTTGTTTGTGTGTGCGTGTGGAAGCCAGAGATGAACGTTGGCTGTCACTCTTCCAGTGCTGTCCCTTTTGTTTGTTGTCCCTCACCAAGAAGACTAGATTGTCTGGTCAATGAGCCCCAGGGATCCATCTGTCTCTGCCTCCCTCATACTGGGATTACAAGTGAGTACCATCATGCCCAGCTCTTCTACATGGGTTTGGGCAACTGAACTCAGGTCCTCATGCTTACAAGGCAAGCACTTTACCACAAGCTATCTCCCCAGGCTCAACTTAAAAGAAAAATTTTAACCATTTTTAAATAAAAGTTTTTGTGATTTTCATGATATACTTTGGTGGTATTTAGATCCCCTCCCCATCTGTACCTCTCCTGTATTGCCCACTTACCCAATTTTAAATGACACTAACACACACACACACACACACACACACACACACACACACACACACACACCACACACACATATATATATATACATACATACATACATACATACATGTATAAAATAAATCTATTTGTGTCCCCAAATGTTGTTCAGTATGGATCCATCTACTGGAACTTGGCTAACCTACTGCATCCCATCCCCTCCCAGCAGTTGATTGCTAAAATTTCCTTAGGCTGGGTTGGAGCTTCTTACCCACTTCCCATGTCTATGCTGGGATTTTGTCTGGTTTGAGCTTGCACAAGCCTTGTGCATGCTGTTACCATTCCAGCCTCAACTTTGAATTCTTTGAGATATGATAAGGAGTTACTAACTTCGATACTCGAATCCTAATGGTGCCAGACAGAAAATTAAAGACAAAAATCAAGAAACCTAATAGCCTTACACTTCAATACTACATTGTTAGTATGCATACCATCCTAAAACTCAAGTTCCAAATATATAATATAGAAAACAGGGCCAATGAGATGGCTCAGTGGGTAATATGCTTGTCATGCAAGCCTAACAAACTGGGTTCAATCTTCACAACCCACATAAAGATTTTGAAAGGAGATAACTGACTCCTGCAAGTTGTCCTCTGACCTCCACACACGTGCTGTAGCACATGCACATCCCCCCATACATAACATACACATTCATAATAATAACAAATACATTTTTTTAAAAAAAGAAACACCTACCACAAAGCAAAAAAAAAAGCTAATTTTTGCTACTTGGGTTGCAGTCAGCTTCCCCACAGTCTTCAGTATGGATTCCTGATCTTTCACAGTAGGGTAAGACATGCGTGACAACTTTGCCTCTAATGCATGGCTTGATGGAAGTTGTCGAATCTCCATTATATTGCTGAACCTTACACGGGACTTTTTGAGAGCTAAGAAGGAAAAAAAGCAAAAACAAAAACATAAAACCTTTAAATGCACCCTTCCATCCAACAAAAGATATAAAGTTTAATTTAATCATAAATGCAGGTTATTTAGATCATTAATGATCAAAGTAAGGCAATAAAAAAAAACGGAGTTATGTTATTACCTTGGGGAAGCTTTGCTGAGTCAAAAGAGCTAACGGGAAAAATAGTTTCATCTATAAAATGTTTATTATAGAGTTTAAATAGGGCCTGAGAGATAGCTCATGGGTAAAGACACTTGCCACCAAGTCTAAAGGCCTTGTTTGGTTCCTGGGACCCACATGGTGGAAGGAAAGAACCAACTCCTCCAAACATGTGTTGTGTTATGGGTGCCCTCCCCCAGGCATACAAAATAAAAATACAATTTAAAAAAATTTTAAAGAGTTTACAATGATAAATATTTCAACAAATGTATGCAAGTATGTGCATGTCTAGGCTCAGAATTTTAATAAGATTATTTTAGAATTTACAGGAAAACATTATTTTGATTACTCCTCATAGATATCCAATTTACAAGAATTATTTTCCTGGATAAGCACGCAGAACATTTCTCTATAGACTCACATCTTATAATGGAAATAATGGATAAAACATTGTTCTATAGAGCTGCAGAGATGGATCAGCAGCTATTGTAGAGAGCTAAAGTTTACTTCCCAGAACTCATATTGGGTAGCTCACAATCACCTATAACTTGAGATCTGAAGCAATCTTTTGACTTCTGTGAGCCCACACCCCTACATACATGACACACACACACACACACACACACACACACACACACACACACTCACAAATACTGTGGGAATGACTTTTACAAATATGGGCATGCTTCTTTTATAAAACAAGGAACTGAAGGAATGACTTCTAGAAAAATGACTTTTACCTAACCTTGTAACCAAAGAGTTAATCTTATGTTTAACACTATCTCAAGTTGTTTATAATGTAAACAAGTTTACTAGGCCTTGGGCTCTTCTTATAACCTAAACATATAGCTTTAATCCCTCATGACCCTTCCTTGCCCTTGACCAGAATAATGTGTGTGTGTGTGTGTGTGTGTGTGTGTGTGTGTGTGTGTTATAAAAACAGCAAGCACTGAAAACAGCAGATATTCTCTGGAAGCATCAAATTATCCCATTTGTGTCACAAACAAGTGGTTTAAGCTGATAGCATCTGTTTGTGCTTGAGTGTTCTGTTTTAGGTCAGAAGGGTCTCTAATAAGATGAGGAGCTGTGTGTGTGTGTGTGTGTGTGTGTGTGTGTGTGTGTGTGTGTGTGTGTTATAAAAACAGCAAGCACTGAAAACAGCAGATATTCTCTGGAAGCATCAAATTATCCCATTTGTGTCACAAACAAGTGGTTTAAGCTGATAGCATGTTTGTGCTTGAGTGTACTGTTTTAGGTCAGAAGGGTCTCTAATAAGATGAGGAGCTAGAGTGATGACTCAGCAGTTAAGAGCACTGACTGCTCTTGTAGAGGACCCAGATTCAATTCCTGGCACCCACATGGTGGCTAACAACCATCCATAACTCCAGTTCCAGAGGATCCAACGTCCTCTTCTGACCACCTCGGGCACTGCATGACACAGGTACACTTACACAAAAAATAATAAGTGAAAAAATTAAAAAAAAAGGCGCAAGGCCTTTGTTCAGAAGTACAGTTCCAGGAAAAATCTGGAGGAACAGGTTCTTAGAACAGTGTGTGTCCCTACTCTTGGTTTAAATGGATGTTAGAATCAGGCTGTCATTATTCAGGCATTGTTGTAACTTGGCATCACACTGCCACAAAAAAAATAATAAAAATAAGTCTTTAAAAAACAAGAAAAAGAATACTGTGTCTTATATTGAAGCTGACATTCTAGAAGAAATTCACAGAACTAGCAAAATTGTTAGAATTTTTTTTATTTGAGTCCCTGAGGACATGTTTATTAGAATATTGCTATATATGTAACTGGGGCTGTGGCTCAGATAGTAGGGTGCTTCCCTAGCAGGCACAAAGGCCTGGATTTCATCCCTAGCACCCCATAAACCAAGCATGGTGGTGCATGCCTGTAATCCCAGGACTCAAGAAGTAAAGATAGGAGGATTGGAAGTTCAAGGTCATCCTTGGTTACACAGTGAGTTTGAGGCTAGCCTGGGCTATATGGGATCCTGTCTCAAAGAAAAAAAATTAAAAATTATATATATAATGATGAAACCATGCAGACTGCTAGTATTTAGAAAGTATTTCCAGTTGAATTAAAACAGAAATTATACTCCAGAGTTGTAATCCAGTTATACTTCCAGAGGACTGAAGGCCAAGTCAACCCTGTGGAACTCAAGAACATGCTACATGATTCTGGTCAACCCACAGTGGCTTAAATGCACCTAAATCTCCATCTGCTGCTCAGGCAACATGGAGCTCTAAGCTTGACTTACTTTTTTCAGTCCCAATGTTTGTGCTCTCAGGTTTTTCACTTGGAAGATCATGAAATTTCACAGGAACATACAGAGGTTCACTCTGGAATAGTAATTCAAACAGAAACAAACATAGGCAGCAAAGTTAAAAGCCAATCTATTGGTATAATTTAAATGCATGGCAAGTAGACACTGGCGTTGTTCATAATACCAGTACTCACCAGAAAGTCTATCCAGACAGCACCACTTTCCCAAAGTGAAATAAAGACTGAGAAAGGACCCACACTAGCACAGTGACACAAAAGAATCATTGTAAAGTAGAAATGTGTGCAAGTGATAAGGTTTAGTGGGTGAAAGTGCTTGCTGCTCAAGCCTGGACACTTGAGTTCAATCCCCAGAATCCACACTAGAAAGAGAGGAAACTCCAGAAAGTTGTCCTCTGACTTCCAAATACAAGGGCCCTGGCACATGGAAACTCATAAACACACACACACACACACACACACACACACATACACACACACACAATAGTAATGCTAATAACAAAAGAAATTTATAAATGCAATGTGGCAGTTTGGGTACATTATGACAACTGATAATTCAGTCATAAAACAAACTTCTCTTAGCCTATACAAAATTCTGTACCTTTTCATTCATTCTTTTGAGACATATATGTGTGTTGTGAGAATGGTGCACATGTAGATTCCCTGCTACTAGGGAGACTGAGGAGGAAGGATAGTTCAAGTCCAGGAACGTGGAGCCAGCCTATGTAATAGAGTAAGATGTCTCTTCCAAAAGCAAAAAAATGAAAATACTCTGAGCTCTTCCTAGTCAGGCACTATTTTAAGTGCTAAGGGTTAGTAAATGACAAAGTTTTTTTTCCCATGACCACAGTCTAAGGGGGAGGCAGATAGGTAATCAAGGTCATCAAATATATAGCACGTTCGTGTCACCAAATTGTTTGATTATTAAGATTTTTTTTGTCTTTTTGAGACAGGGTCTCCCTATAGTCCCAGCTGACCTGAACTCACTATGTGATTATTAAGACTCAACAAAGAGCACTAATTCCTTCTTACAGTTATTCTTGCAGAGAAAGGTTGCATGCAGGTGTACATGACTATATGTATCTAAGTGCAAAGGCCAGAGGTCAGCTTTGCTTATCATTTCTCAAGAGCTGTCCATCTTGTTTTATGAAACTGTTTCTCACTGGGACCTGGGGCTCATCCATTACACTAGGCTGTCTATACAGGGAGCCTCGAGGAGCCTCCTGCCTATGCCACCGTACCTGGCTTTTTATGTAGGTACTGCGGATTGAACTCAGGTGCTCATGCTTACATGACAAGCACCAACAATTCTCTTTTAAAAATCTTTAAAGCTTTATTATAAAAATTAGAACATTTACAACAAAATAAAAAGTAACAGTAATGGCATTATTTCGTTCAGCATGTCCAACAAATCAGTGTCCAGTCATGTTCAATTCCTACTGTACTGGTCTATGGAATCAAAAAGGAACCCCTATTCTACAACCCAACAATTCTTGAAAATGTTCACATGATTAAGAGATGAAAAAAACGCTACCACTGATCAGTTCTTGCACAAGTTGAAGTTCAAAGCCACTAATGGCCTTTCTCATTAGTACTTGAAGTACTTTAGGAGTATTTTAATGCAACTGTTCTAGAAGCAGAGATATAAAAACGACTGAATACTAGGCAAAATTTGTCTCCAGAAGTCAAATTTTCAAGTGATTCTAAATGCCTCAAAAGTTTTAAAGCCCAATTCCCCAATTATGTTGCTTTTTTAGGAAAATTCAGATTTAATTTCTTTTTCTTTTTTAACTTCTGGTATAAAACTCTGACGACAAAACATATTTAGTAAATGAGGTCTAGATAAAAAAAAACCGCAGTTTTTTAAAAATTATATTTAACTTTTTAGTCTCACATTTGGTCTTTAGCAATTTGACCTATCCACACTAGAAATAAAAGCAAAACTTATTAGGACTAGTTAGTGCCTTGTACACTGAGAAAGACAAACGATATTAAGTTATCTTGCCAATGCTTAAGATCTCATAGAAGACAGTATTTTCTCTGAGTTTCATAAGCTCTTCACAGGACCTACTAATCTATCCAGCATAGAGCGATAGCTGGTGCTTATATTTTATATAGATACATAATTTATATATATCTATATAACATGAAAGTAGAAGGAAAACTGTCAAGGAGGACAAAGGGGACAAATGGATGGGTTGAGAGATATGGGGGTGGGGGACTATCAATGTACAATATATTCTTTTTAAATTTTTTGAAAAATAGATAAATGAAAAAAATTAATTTGAAAGGGGGAAAAAGCAGACAAACAAAAACAACAAAAAACTATACTGATAATAAGGCCACCAGGCCAATGCTTAAAAACTGGTATTAGGAAGGCCAGCAAGACGGAGTGAGTAAAGGTATTTGCAACAATGCCTGACATTCTGAGTTTGATTCCCAGAACCCACATGAAGGACTGAGACAAAAACTGACTCCTGAAAGTTGTCCTGACCTCGACACACATGCTGTGGCACCACACATACACGCACACACACACACACACACAGACACAAGAAATAAATGTAAAAAACTGTAGAATAAGTAAATGAAAAATTTGCTTATATATTTATTTTCAGTGCTAAGTAACAACATCTGTTTCCAAATGGTAATAATAAAGAGTATGAAGTTGAAAGGTCTGTGCTTTATTATTTCCATTCTTAATAATCTTCTCCTTCCCTCTCTCCTCAGAGGCAGTTGAACTGCTTACCTCTAGGTTCCAGGTCTTCCTAAGGAAAAAAAGTACCAAACTGTCATTCTCACAGAAGGCACCCAATACTGAGCTATACCTCTTCATATAATCACGGTGTCATCAAAGCTGTCTGCATTCTTCATGCTACACTGTACAAGAAAAGCAGTACTTACCAAAGAACTATTCATAGTTGTGTCTGTTGTGCAAGCAGCAAAGTAACCTTCAGCATCTGCAAACTGAATACAGATAACCGGACATTAAATTCAGTTCAACTCACATCATTACGCAGGACTAGCCACACAGCTCAAATGAACACAACCAAAAATCTAGAATAAACCTCTGAGTCTAACTGTTCTAATAATAACAGGCAATGCAGGATTCTGCCATGCAGAGAGGATTTTATCATCTTGTCTTTACTGATGAACAACTGAGGCTGGGCAAGGAAGTGAAAAAGGACAGCAATACCTCAGTGTTGTCATAAGACTAGGTCTGACCCTAAGAATCCCCTGATGGAGCTCGGGGACCAGCTCACACTCTGGGAGTCACTTAATACTGCAAAAGTCTGATTCTATTTCATAATCACAGCTACTCTACCAACCCAAATATTATTTTAAACCCACCCAAACAAAAAGGACTAATAGATCCAGAAAAACAGACATTAGTTACTAGGGACTGGGGGAAGAGGGAAGAAGCAATTCTTGTTTAATGGGTAAAGAGTTTCTGGTTTGAAGGAGGAAGAAGTTTTAGAGATGGAGAGTGGTGATGAGTGCCCAGCAAGTACATGTATTTAGTGTTACTGAACACCACCTTAAAAAATGGTCAAGGGCTATGGGTACCCAGCCCCAGTTGATACATCTACAATGCAACCCCTATACTTAAAGCTCAGGGAACATCATAGAAGAGGGTGTGGAAAGAATGTGAGAGCCAGAGGACCAGAATGCCTGTTGCTGGATAGTATCTTCCAGACATGACAAGGAAACAGCACCCATGACATCTCAACAATATGGTTGCCTACACAAGATCTACACAATGACACCACCAGCTGATGTGCTAATATGGATGGGGGAAATGTCATGAGGCCACACCTTTAAATAAAGAGCTACAGCCAATTAATAGTTATTGAGAGAGGAGTAATCAGCTTTCTTGAGGGAATGAGCTCTCTGAAAGATTATGCAATCTGAAGTGGTCAGCCCTAAAAACAAGTGCACACTAGATAGAACCTATAAATGGGCCCAGAGGTGTGTGTGTGGAGGGGGCTCACAGGCCAATGTTTTAAAAACTGGTATTAAGAAAACCAGCAAGATGACTCATGGAATGGAAATGATGTAAATACAGTACTCATGTATGAAATTCTCAAAAAAAACTTTTTAATTAAAAAATGGTCAACCCCACTAGATGGACTTGAACCAGTATCCAGTCTACAAAGAGGAGGGTCAACACAGAGGAATCATTTCCTCCATGCTTCCAAGCGAAGCCAACCATGGTCAAGCAGGACCTTAGACTTAATTTCACATAGGCAGAACTGGTAAAAGAAAGGAGCCAGGGACTCCTCCCAAGCCCATGTAACCCCTGAGGAAGAGATCTTCAAACGACCTTAAGAGTAAAAATATATTGGTTTATCTGGGCCAACTGTATGGTCTTAAATACCCAAAAGGAAAGTATAGCCAAAGATTAAATGGGCCAATATAATTTTTTAAGAGTCCATATGCATAACTTATGCATAACTAAAGGCTACGTAAGAAGCAACAATGCCAGATAGGAGATACATTCTTTTGAGTTGTTGGCCAGGGTGGCCAAAGGACTGGGAAAATGAACAGGAGACCCTGATCTTATCTAAAGGAATATTGACAACTGATTGCTTCTATTAGAGGAAT